TGTTCCCAATATGCCTCAACCAGTCAGAACTTCTTAGCATCTTCATAAAGCAAGGCGGGTCACAATAAGGAGCAAATCTCCAAAAGATGGCAAGAATGACCAATGCAGCAATATAATCACAACCAAAATAAAGAGCAATCTTAGACTATAAGGATTAGTTACAACGTATCACCAAGAGAGTTGTAGTTTCCTTGTGGAGGGAAAATGGTCTATTTTTTCCCCAAAAATACTATGTGTCCCCCTCTTTATAACACTGCGTGCAAGAACAGTGTCTTGCATTCAAACACAGATCTATCAATGGAAGAACCATATCCCTTAGTCTAGAAAAATAATGATAAACACTATGTAGCTCACATGGTTTCCATAAAGATGCTAAAAACATAATGGGCTGCAAAAACTTAGCTACAATAAATGTACTAGGTCTGGGGTCAACAGAGGACAGATTTCCAAACCTTATGCAGAGATATACTTAAAATGACAGCTGAAAGCTGTTGCAATGCAGGCATGTCTGGTTCTGATTTTGTAACCAACAAAGAATGACCCAGAACACTGGTTTACATGCCCACATGCTGTTGCCGAACAATAACTACATGCTAAGGGGCACCAGAAAGCAGTAGACCTACCTCATGCTCTAGCAGCCTACAAGGCAATGGTGTTTCTTACAATGGAAAACTGCAGGTTATAGTTTGAAGAACACATTAACCAACAGCAAACCAAACTAAGTCTTTCTACATCTCTAGTATCTTCAACCAGTGGAAATTTTCAAGAACTCCCAAGAAAGTAGCTGCAGAATTTGAAATTCAGGGTAAGTATGGAATTTAGACTATATCCATAATACATGATGGGCAGGGTATGCTACCATGCTTTGGACAGGTGGTGAGTGCTGCCCATAGGATTGCCAGGAGCTGGTGGCCCTTGGCAGCTCCAAAAACATACAAGACAGGCACCTCAGAGCATCTGCCCATCTGGCCAATGGTCATCTGGCTTGGTCAAGTACAATGAGCACAGTCCTTTCCCAAATTCAAATGCCTTAAGGTAAACCACCTTCTCTACTCAAGAGTGAGGCACAGTAAAATGTGTAGTAGAAGATCTGCAATAGGACCTGTTGTCATCCCCAGTCTCACTGCTGCTTTTCATTTTGTGTTACTGAGGTAGAAGGATAGCGTAAGAAAGCAAGAGTGGTGAAAAAGGATACAATCACATTAAAACAAAAGGAAAAATAAAGTGAAGGAATTCAAACTACTTGCACAAAAATAATTACTAAAAACATTTCCATTATTTGTTTAGGTATGCAACTTAATAATAAATGATTTCTGAATTGTTTTTGAAAAAGGAGTAATTTTGAATTCCCTGGACACTGTCAATTTTAATATATGCTATTGGGAATACATTTGCAAAAGCAGAATCTTTCATAAAAAAATGTATTCCCCAATCACCTTCTGTGATCATGGCATATACAGATTCTTATTGAACCCACTTAAACAGAGCTACAAAGATCCATAGAATGAATGAAACAAGAGTTGAGACTGAGAGGCTGGCAAAAATAACATGGAAAAAGTCAAACATCCTCACAAACAGATGATCTGGTTTCTCATGCTGACATGTGCCCTCTCTGGAGCCTGTGAAGGGTGGGCTACTTCCTCCTACAAAACAAAACTTGCCTTTCTTCTCAGTGTAGCTGATTCTGCCAGTTCAGAGCCTGTCCCTCTCACCTCTTTCTGAGTGCCTGCATGCTTGTAGCCACCTCTCACAGCCAAAGGTGGGGAAAATGGCCCAGAGCTGATGTGGATGTCAGCCGAGGTATGTGTGTGTGCCAGACACCCCTGCAGCCCCCGGGGTGGAGAGATGAAAAACCAGCCCTGGCTTCCCCTTCAGAAACACACCTGGCAAGGTAGCCAACTGGCACAGGCTCCTCCAAAGACAGGGAGGCAGGCAGAGGGCAAAACTAAAAACACAGAGGCCTTGAGAAGGCATACCTGTGCACACCACGACCGACGGGAAAACAAGCCTACCTCTCCCAAGGAAGGGGAGGAGAGGGCCATGGTGGGGAAGAAAACAGTAGACCAGGGGAGATGAGGCAACATCATTAAGCACCGCAAGCCTGTCTGCCTTGAACTCATTGCTTGCCATGTAGAAAAAAAGAAAAGGTTTAGCTAATATATGACCCCGGATGACTTCATTTTATTTTATGGTGTTTAGATTTTCCCCCCCACTTTGTCTTTTTTGTGATAAGGAAAAGGGGGGTACTTAGGAACAGGCAGAGCTCACAAAGTTGGGCTTGAAGATGGCTTGCTTAAGAGGCCAGGTACCCAGGACTGAGGAGCTGTCTTAGTAGCCTCACTGAGCAAAATATCCTAGGGTCTAGTGCTTCAGTGCAGTGCTAAAGGGAGCGAAATGAATGGTTTACAAAAATTTCAGTATCACAGCTGGCTAGCTAGTCAACGACATCATCAGTCTTTCAATCTAGTGGCACTGCGCGTGTGGGTTATTAAAAACGCTTGACCACACAAGGATGATCTGGTATCTACAAGGCACAGTACTAGGTTACCCAACAACTGGTCTATGCACTTCTTAAATTCTCAGTAAAGCTGAGATTCCCATGAAAAAATTTTTCAAAAGATTTTTCAAAGAAAGTATTGTGGTAGACATTAAGAGAAAATTTCAGATCTTGTTTAGAACTTATTTTATAAGCACTTTGTGCCTCCTATTGTTTTTATTTTTATTACCACCACTTTTTTGTGCTTAAGGTTTTATTTTGGTCCTATGTGGGTAAAAGGAAATCATACTGCAAGATTCTAGGACTTTCTTTGGTTTCACCAGCACACGTCATACTAGTATTGAGACAGGTCTTCAAGAGCAACCTTCCAGATGCTTATGGTGCTTTGGAGAGAGTTACAAAGAGAAGGGGGGTGGGGAACCAAACCCAACAACTCCTAGAGGTCGTGAAATGAAGCTACAGAATAGCTTGCTGCTAAACAGCATGGTCACCAGATGTGGGAAAATACTTTCCAATAGTGCAATTGAAGACCAAGCATTCTCATCATCTACTTGAATTTATGTCAGAGGACCACTTTCTCCAACTTTTTTTGAATGGGTAAAACCTTTGATCCTTATTCCAAACTGAGGGCGAAAACAAGATTGTCCTTTTTATTTATTTGCTAAAAACTACAACTAATTCAACTGAAATAAAATGATCTTAAATACTTCAGTGTGAACTGTTCCATTTATATAATAGCAATTTTCATAAGGTTATCCCCCACATATTTTCACCATAATCAGTAACAACAGAATTCTGAAAGACTGAATAACAAACAGAAGTGACATGAGTGGATGGAAGACATGGAGAATAAAATTTGAATACTGGTTCTTGTGACGAGAACCAGTATTTCCCCATGTACAAGCTCTGATTAATCTCTATAGTTTTGTTTGAAGGTTACTCTGCCAAGTCCTCAATTATTTGCACAATTGATGACTTTTTCCATTCTCAATGGACTGCCTGCCTTCTTTCAGTTACCCAAAGACTATTCCTAGCTTTCATGTGCCATATGACTCTGCAGTAATGACGGATTTGGGGCCACGGTTTCTCTTATAACTTCGTAATTCTATAACTCTATATAAAACATAGCAAATACATATTCTGAGATATTTATAGAAAAAATGATTTGCATACATACAAAACCAGAGGGAGAAAACTTTGAGATATGGAATTTGGTAAGGCAAAATAGAAGCTTGAGCTTTTACTGAGAGTTGAAGTATAAACATTTTGGAGCTCCCCTAAGATGTCTAGACCAGTGTAACAGTCGTCTTTGTTTAGGGAAATGACTTCTAGTCTTAAATTTGTGACACCCCAGGGTGTCTCCAGATATCTCCCGAGGTGTTGTAAAATTCCCTCCACAAAATGCCAAGTAAAATAACTCTAATTCATTTAAAAAGTATGCCACACATGTTTAGACGCAGGGGAGGGTGTCCTGGAATCAAGAGAACAGTCTTAAGCATTTCAAAAGCCTGCGTCTTGTCAATTACATTAAAAAAATCTAAATCAATGTTTTTGAATAGATACAATAAATGCAGGAAATAAAGCAAGATGAGATGATCTATGCGTGTGGTTTTGTGGTTGGAAAAGACAGGGAAGAAGGTGGTTAGTTGGGACACTATTTTAGCGGAAAACTCTTTTCACTTTACTTACTAATGGTTGGATTAACACTGACTGTCAATTAGAAACCCAGTTCATAGGTCCTCTCTACCTGGTTGCACTAAACACTGGTGCCTTGAAGTCGGTTTCAAAGATCTCTGTACAGTAGTAGTTTCTTTAAAACAAATGAACACAGACTACAGAAACCGGCAGCTAGTCATGGTAAGCTAAATTTTGTCAGTGTTTCTCTTAGCTTCTGACTGAAACTGTTAACCTGAGGCCCTGAGATTACACAGAGGTTACACATTGCTGCTCTGCAATATCCACTTATTAACCTTCTTGGTCATCAAGAAGTTAGTAACTAAAACACCACCTTGGGTTTACCACTCAGAAGTTGGCTTACTGCCATTATGTTTTACTATACCTTCCAAATCTCCAATAAAATATGTTTTCTGATAGGTCACTGCCTCAGGCCTCACAGCGCTCTTTATTCAGAACACCCACGTCAATCATCTGATAAATCTGAACTTGGATTTCTTCAAGAGTCATACATATATGCACTCAAAAAAAGACATCACTGAAAAAGCATCCTTTTTTTATTAAACAGGCCTGTCTTTTCCCTGGAGAACTCGATTTCACTGTTTACTTTTTATTCTTCATATCACTGTCTATTTAAAATTAGAACCACGTTTACATTCCAATGAGAAATTCCTAAGTAATTTTTATTTAACCCTTTATCAACTGTTAATTGCTTTCCAAAAAGAAGTTCCTTTCAAACTAGGCCCTTTTTGGCACATTTCAAAAGTTATCTGAAGAATCAAACATCTGAAAGTTGAGTAGGGAGAGGGAAAAAAGAAAGTATACTTGCCTTATTTGTAGCAGTAGCACTGGATCCAGGGACCACAGGCACGTTTGTCACTTGAACTGAAAGATAATTATTATCTATGAGTGGCCAGGCCCCTTCCACTTTGCATGTTTGGAAGTGATCCTTGAAAGTTCTGAGGTGAGGATCTCCAAACAAGCCACAAAAAAGGTAATTGGGAGGGTTCTGGTCCCCTCTCCTGTGTTCCCTGGCTCCAGCGTGGCTGTGATAGTTGCAAGGATCATGGGTCACTTCGGGGTTGGTAGAGGATGTGGGTCCATCCTTGGAACAATTCCTCTGGCTCATGAGGTCACTGATACCCAACACAGCAGAATGGTATACCAGGTTGCCACGGCAGGCTTTTGAAGTTCGCTGGGTGCAGCCAGCATAGGCACGCAAGGCCTTGCAAAACTCAGAGTCAAAGCCGTCAATGGCAGAGTTCAGGTGAGAAGTCAGGGACACAAAGTCCGTGGTACATTTCTGGATTCGACATTGGGCTGGCTGTTGGCAGTCACCTATGGGAACGAAGATAAGACCAAAGATTTGTAAACTCTTCTTAACTTCCTGGGCTACATGAGAAAATGGCATTGTTATTTGGGAACTGTTTGTTCTATTTTATATACTGTACTCCTGTTTTAAGAAACCTTCAGAAATAGGGTTTCATTGTGTTCCTGTGTCTTCCTCAAATTAAGCCACTGGAAGAAAAACTGCATGCAATTAGTTAACTTAAAACTTTAATGCATGAGCCACTGTGAACGAACATGAGTCTAGTCCAGTGATCACAGGTTGAGATTACAAGGGAATAGTAAATAAAATATTTTGTCAATGTTGCTATTTGTTTATAGGTTTTGAAAAAGATTCCTCTACTCTAAGGTTACGCCAAAAACATGAACATTGTTTTGGTTTTCCAAAATTGCATAACATCCTTCAGGAAGCATTGGAAAAGCAGCACTAGGCACAAAAATGGTTAAAACCTTCCCACCTCAGGAAGGTGTAAAATCCTAAATGATAGTATAATTAGTTAAAACACCTTTACTTCATTTACCTGTATGGCTACAGAATAAGAAAACAAAACAAAACAAACAAAAATCCAGGTACTGTCATTCTACTTCTCCTGAGGCACATTTACCAAGAAACTTAAATAAACTGACACAATTTTCTAATTTCTACAAAATGTAAATGCTCTAAGAAAAAAAAAAAAAACCACAAGATTAACTTGACCAAGCTATATATTTGCTTTTTCCTTACCATCTATCTCCACTATCCTAGGATTCTAGCTCCCAAGCAGATCACAAGTAAAAGCACACTAAATAAAAACATAATGTTTCATATAAACATTACGAAAAACCAAAGTATTACTGCCCTATTAGTTTAAAAAAAATCAATTTCCAAATGATGCTTTTTACCACTAGTTTCTCGAACAAAAATTTATAAAATCTCCTAAAGCACAAAAAGCACAAGAACTACCAATACTAGGTCAGTTTTGTGCCCCCAAAAAATTTAATATTCTGTTCCATAAAATGGAAACAACAGACTTAATGAAAAGAGACACTATTCTTTCTCATCAACTGCAAATTTTATATAAATGAACTGTAACACACATTTGTGTTACATAAAATCTTTATAGGTCTTTAAACTATGGAGACATCTGTTAATCTCTTTAAGTGTGAGGGTCCTCCATCTGAGAAATGAGGAAGCTATTCTAAGACGAAATTTGTCATCTTTTCCAGACAGTAAATATCTTCTAATTTATACTCTGGATGTGGGAAAAAATTCAGGGCCAGTAGATTATTATTAAATATATAATTATTTCAAGATGTGGATGCAATAAACTTTAGGATGATATCAAGATTTAGGGAACTCCATCTGATAAAGACTTAAAATTAAGTCTAATATTGTCTTAGAAAGCTATTTTAACATTTTCACTAGTAAACTGCTCTTAAATCTGAATTTAGTAGCTTGTAATCTGTTTCTGGCTTTAGCTGGGAGAAATAGGTGGGAGGAGACAACTTCTGAAGACAACTCTGTCACCATTTTTAAATCTGAAAAATTCTAAATTTAAAATTTTAAATTTCAAATCTTCTTGGGTTCTTTTGCTTTGGCTAAGGCTTCCAACAGCCTTTTGCTACAGAGATGATGAGAGGGAAAAGGGCTAGAGAGAAAGTGCATTTGGGTCAAAAGGGGAAAATACTATGCAGTTAAGGCTTGGTATTCACTTTAACTTGAGTCAAAGATTAAAACATTTTAATATGTTGGAGCTATGGATTTACAGCAATCATCAAATCATACTTTTAAAAAAAAATTTACAAAAACATCTTTGTGTGGAATCTATGTTTGCTCATTCCAAAGCTGACAAAAGTAGCTCCCGGTATTTACAGAATTTCTTTTTCCAAAGCAGATCAAATAATTTTTGGCTATTTTTCACTAGAACCCAAATCAAACTGAAATAGAAATTAACTAATTAATCCCAAAAGGGTTAAAGCCATTTTGCATATGGAAAAACCAAGGCAAAGCGATATTAAAAGGCTTGTTCTAGCAGATTCATAAAACAGCTAGCATTATTAAGCCAGGAGGTGGTGCTTTCCCTCAAAACTTGTTCTTCCATCACAGGTCATGTCTCCTCTTATTTCCTAACTCTAATGACAGTACTTGATGGCTAAAAAAAAGACTTAAGTAGCCACTGTATTTTTTTTTTCTTTTAAAATCAGATACACGTAAAACAAGAAAATAAATACGGGGCCAACATCTCAGTGATGAGGAGCTCTTAAGACTACAGATAAATGACAGCACAAGAACTTACCGCTAAACTTGCAGTGCCTATTTGTTCTTTTTATGGTCTATAAAATCTATTTGAGCATGCGTTTCTTTATAATTATTTTAAACAGTCATAAAATATCAAAAGTAAGAACAGTATGGAAATGCAGATGGAATCATTCAGAAGGAAAGAAAAGTACAATTTAGTTTCCCAGCTCCCTTTTCTTTTTTTTTTTTTTTTTTGAGACGGAGTCTCACTCTGTCACCCAGGTTGGAGTGCAGTGGCGCGATCTCGGCTCACTGCAAGCTCCGCCTCCCGAGTTTATGCCATTCTCCTGCCTCAGCCTCTGGAGTAGCTGGGACCACAGACGCCCGCCACCTCGCCCGGCTAGTTTTTTGTATTTTTTAGTAGAGACGGGGTTTCACCGTGTTAGCCAGGATGGTCTCAACCTCCTGACCTCGTGATCCGCCCATCTCGGCCTCCCAAAGTGCTGGGATTACAGGCTCGAGCCACCGCGCCTGGCCTCCGTGAAATATTTTTTTTTTTGCCAATGCTCCCTTTTCTTTTTTTTTTTTTTTTGAGACGGAGTCTCACTCTGTCACCCAGGTTGGAGTGCAGTGGCGCGATCTCGGCTCACTGCAAGCTCCGCCTCCTGTCTTCAAGTGATTCTCCTGCCTCAGCCTCCCAAGTAGCTGGGATTACAGGCATGCACCCCCACGCCCAGCTAATTTTGTATTTTTAGTAAAGACAGTGCTTCTCCACGTTGGCCAGGCTGGTCTTGAACTTCCGACCACAGGTGATCCGCTCGCCTCAGCCTCCCAAAGTGCTGGGATTACAGGCGTGAGCCACCGCGCCGGCCTACACCTTTTCCTTTTTCATAGCAGGTAGGTGTTGACTGCTTAAACAAATCTCAAATCAAACAGATCTCCTGGGGTTCTTTTGCTTTGGCTAAGGCTTCCAACAGCCTTTTGCTACAGAGATGATGGGAGGGAAGAGGGCTAGAGAGAAAGTGCATTTGGGTCAGCATTTTCAGCTTCGCTGTGGGCTCCTATATAATGACTAATTTGCAGCATACACCCAGAAATATCCAGGCTTCATGAATTTATAACGACAATGCACACTTTGCCTGTTACAGGCGGTAAAGTAAGCCTCCTGCCAATATGCCAAGACAATGCGGAACAGAAACAATCTCAAGGATGTAGTCAAGAAGGCCATGAAGTGTATGAGTAAGCAAGTAACTCCCATATTGATCTCCATTCACGAATAGCAGAGATTTGCTTAAAAAAAATGAAACTAAAGGTACTCCTTTCATACTCTTTTCATTCCCCAAGGGCAGAACGAAAACTCTGCAGTTACAGATTTCTCTACTTTTGGGTCAGATCATCTGTGATCAGTGTGACAGTATTTGCATACTAGTTACTGAATATGCCAAAGCCTTTGTGGGTCTAGAGCTTTCATTTAATCATTTTTTAATGAGTCAGACATAAAGACCTCACCATTCAAGACAGTTTCCTTAACACCAGGACTACACGTGTGAATCTGCAGCACAATCACCAGTTTATACTAAAAGAAATGAGATATTCTGAAGCTGAACTAAGTGAAATGTGGAGCCATATGGCGTGCTGAGGCAGATGATAAGGATTCAGGCATAAAATATATAGTATAGTCCATCTGCAAAGAGCACCGGCACTCTTGCTAGGCTCCCTTCTCTGAGAAACAACCCGGGCATTTAAATAGCACCACTCTTCAAAGAAATCTCTCAAAAGCAGCGTTCTTTTCTTTAACAGGATTAATCGCTTCACTCCAATAAGTTGTCCATAGAAATCACTCACCACATTATGTTGGGTTGAATCTAATGGTGACTTAAATGAGGACACATGAAGCTACTGAGAGCTTCACATTCCAAATTCTTGAACTAAGACACCCTACTTTTCTAAACCTTTAAGCCAACTTACTATGCCTTTCAAAGGCCAGCAAAGAAATCTTCAGGGACCACATTCCAATTCTGTCACAGGATCCTATGGCAACTATGGGAAACAATATCCAAGCAGCCAAGGGGGACAGAGTCCCACCTAGCACAATTTCCATTTCATGAAACGTACCTTTTTGTATTATGGACACGTATTTTTCGCACAAAACACTCCTGAATATATCTTTTAACGTATCAAGAAAAATGTTCCACGTAACTACATGCAGATTGACACTATTTCCTAAGGTTCTTAAGTTACTAACTGAAAGCCGAAATCATTCTAAAACTTTCTATTACACTTTTTTATTAAGTCGTCAGTCTTTTCCCTAATTGTCGGTGTTAAAAGGCAGCTATTACATCACAATGCAAAGCTACGCAAATTAAGTCTTCTCAGATGCCACACTTTCCCCCCCAATACTTAAAAGATCTCCCTGATTTTTAGCATGGCGGGTATGGTTTAATAAGTAAGTAAAAATTACTCTGCACAGTTGCGTAGCATCGAAGTTCAGGATTCTCCAGACCAGAACGTTGTGAAGTGTCTCATATACACAGGACAAAAAGGTCTCGAAGGAAAAGAAACTTATCCAAGGCTCTGTTTGTTCTCAAGACTAAAAGATAATGCCTCTTTCAACCTTAGCATTAAAAAAAGTTCTTTGTCTAGGCAAATTCCTAAAATAAAATAATGTGAAGAGCGTCCTGGATTTTCATGAAACGATTTTTTTAAAAGAAAAATAGGTATCACATGGTAGAAGGCTCATCTGCAGGCTTACTTCCCTAGGAACATATTCCTCGACGCGGGGGAAGCGCCGACCTCCAGAAGGCAGCACGGTTATCTGTCAACCCCTCACGGAGCCCGAAGACACCCGGCTAGCCACAGAGCACGAGCTTTTCCTGGGAGACTGATAGCTGAATTAAAAGCAGCTTTTGCCAAAACGAAAGAAATCCCTAGTCAAAAAAGTTGACGTTACTTCGAGATTAACTCCCAGGTTTGCAAAATCTGGTGAAAATCTTTCCATCTGGTGGGCTTCCTTCGCCTCGCCGCCACCCCCAACTCAAGAAAAACAGCACAAGGCTCCTGGTCTCCCTCCGAGGAGGCTGCGGCGGCGGAAACCTGATCCGAGCCTGACTTTCAGTAAACACCAGCACAGAGCAATAAAGCATCCGGAACATTTGTCTCCGGCGCGCGGCCCCCGCCCGCTAAGTGTTTGATAAGCGGCTGTCTGAGGGGAGATTTGTCAGCGGTCCGAGCCAAGGGCAGGGAGGGTGGGGAAAGGGCTCGTCTCTGCGCCCAGCGGCCGCCCGGTGGGTGGCTGCGTTCCTGTCGCCGGGAGCCCGGCAGAGGTGCGTGTCAGGGGCTCGGGAGGCCTTTCTCGTTGCGCCACGCCACCCTTCCGCCCGGGCGAGCGCCTTCGAGACCCGGGGCTGTTTGGGAACAAAGCTCTCGGCCCCAGGGCTGGCTCCCCTCACGCGCTCCCGTCCTACCTGCGTGGAGCAGCTCGAGGCTGAGCAGCAGCAGCAGTAGCAGCTCCAGCGGCGGCAGGCAGAGCCCGGGGCGGCGGCGCTGCTCAACCTCGGCGGCAGCAGCGGCGGCGCTGGAAGGTGCTGGTCTCAAGCCCATGCCCGTCCATGCAGGTCTCGTGGGCTCCGGCGAGGGCGGCGGGGCGGGCGCCGTGGCGGGTCTGGGCCCGTGGCTGCGGCATGGGCCGGGGGGCGCGCCTCGCTTCCTCTTCTTCCTCCTTCAGGCCCGTGTAGCAGATGGGGCGCCACCACCGCCGCAGCAAGCAGCACGCCGCGGGCGCAGCCAGTCGGCGGCGGCAACAACGGGGCGCAAGGGCATCGTGGCGGCCGGAGGCGGCGGGCAGGGAAAGAGGGGCGGAAGAGAAGACACAAAGACCGTGAGCGACTGCTGAGACGAGTCCCGAGCGCGCCGGCACCCCGGCCCCAGCCAGCGTGGGCTCGGCGGGCGTGGACCTCCAAGCGGCTCGCCCAGCCCTAGTTAGCGGCAGCCACCGGCGGCCCGGATATCTCTGCGCGGCAGCCCCAGCGGTCAATCAATCTCAGTCCCGCACTGCCGTCCCGCCCCGCCCTGTGCCCGCCAATCTGCGACGCCATCATCCCCCGCCGCGTCCCTCCCTTCCTCCCCATTGGTTGTGACCGCACGTCCGCCCGACTCAGCCTGCCAATCGCAGGACGCAGAGGGCCCTCTCCCCCGCCTGCTCAGTGTAATTCGAGTTCCGTGTCCATCGAGACTGCAAGTCCTCTCCTGTGCCGCAACCTTCCTCGCACTCCCTTTCCTCTCCCCTCTACCACCTTCCGCGATTTACTGTTTCCTTGCGCCCAGTAGAAATGGGCGACCGCAACTCTCACTCCGGCCGGCGTTATAAAGGTACCAGCCTTTGACCTCTGCTTGAATTAATGTGATCCGATTCATCTTCCCTCCAAGTTTTTTTTTTTTTTTTTTAATTTAATTACCCTTCCCCGCCCTGGCCCGGCCAACTTCAGCTCCACCTCCTTGAAGGAAGCTGGCGCTTTTACGGAGCGCCGCGCGGCAGGTCCCCTTTTAGCCAATCACATCTGCGGAACAGCGTTCCGAACCGTTTGCGGGTGTCTGGTAAAGCAAGCTCGGGGCAGTGTTGGAAATCTGAATGTCACCCGCGGTCCTGAGCAGATAGAATGGGCTGGGAAGGTACCCGTGAACTCCCGGCGGAATTCGCTGGCAGCTGTGCGAGGCTCAGGTGTTCTAGTTTCTTTGACATTTCCCTTCCTGAAAGCGGCAAGGAGAGGTCTAAGAGTGGGCAAACTTCAACGTTCGGTTACAGTGTAATTAATGAGAGTGGTGGGTTTTTATGCAGTGTAATTATGCCACGATTTGTTGTTGCTCAGTGACTTTTTCACAGATTTCTACAGATTATTTCAATTTTCCGCAAATTTCTACAGATTAATTCAATGGCAGCTCACTTCCTCCTTTTATGATTGGATAGGTCCGAAAGTGAGGAAAAAGCCAATTGTCTGCAAAGAAAGAGGCTGCCAAGTGGAGACAGAAAAGCAGTTATGAGACTGGTGATAGATTCCAATTTGTTATCAGTAGGTGTGAAGTGGTATCTAATCCCAAGAATGACCTCAAGGCTGAGAGACACTTGATACTGCCCTTGCCTTTGCCTTTCCCCAAACAGCACAGGACCGCCATTTAAAATCCACTAACATCCAAATCGTAGTTGGCAACTCTACACGCTACATTACTCAGAATCTCTAATTAGGAATTTCGTATCAACCACGGACATGCTGATATTCCACACATGTTTAAATGTGCTAATCAATGGACTAAGATAATTGAGGGGCAAACCTTCGGTCTCACCAGCTCACTTCATTATAGACACATTGTGAATTGCCCAAACCACTATGTCCCCAACGAAGGATGCCTATCTGTTTTTACTGTAACTTTTCATTAGTTACTTATTACATACTATGATGACTTACGGGGTAAACACACCTTTCACTACCCACGATATAATCCAAGCCTGTGTATATCCATAATATGCTTAATAATAGCTTCACAGTTGCCTGGAGAAATGACTTTTGGGGAGGAAGGTATATGACATTTTTAGATAATGCTGTGGATTAAATATTATTAGAGCAAAAATTTACTATCTTGCAATTACTTCATATAACTAATGAGGTACAGTTCATGACATACTAAGAAGCATCTTAAAGTAATCAAATACTGATTTTCAAAGTATTTGGCTAACAAGGACTAAAATTTTTTTTCTCTTAATCCAAGATTTAATTCGACCCCTATACAAGAAACACCTCACTTTATTGATCATACTTCAAAACATATACTCAATAGTTAAGGATCAATAATTTCTGTTTGGTTTGGGTCTTTCCACTCGTGACTTTATCATGTTTTTACTCCCCTCCCCCCATATCCTGTTCCTTAAGTACACGGGTGCTCTAGATTTTCCTATCAATAGAGGGCGTCCTCGAGTCATTGTATACCCTGGTGTCGTTAAACGGAACTGTTCTTCAGAGGAAAAACTTCATCTCTAAGGCGCTTTATTGCTCCTCTGTTGTAAAATTTGACAAGCTCGAGATTTATAAGCCTAACAATTCACTTTCTATTGCTGCATAAGTGTTCACCCGCTAAAGGAAAATGCTAATTTTCACAATTAAACCGCAAGGTGGTTCCTATTTTCAAGACATAGGTCAGTTGACACACTCGCGGGTAAATTCGTACTGTTCGCAAGAGCAGGAATCAGCTTGGAAAGCAAGAGTGTAGTGAATAGTAGCTTATAGCGCAGCCACTCCTCAATCCCGTGAGCTGCAAGTTACAAAGGATTTTAGATTCTACAAAGAAAAATCGGGGAGGGAGGTAGAAAACAAACATAAAATCGGTGACTTATACAAGTTTTATGTTTTAATCAGAAAAAAATCATGAAGTGACTGATGAGTGGTGCAACTCACACATCCACCCTGTTTCTTGCCACTGGTACTCCTTCTCCCTTCCTCTTTGTTTTCAGGAAGGAAGGAGGAGACCTGAACAGTACATCCAGAGAATCCAGCAAAGCATACCACGGTATGAACGTGCAAGTGCACAGAATTAAAACACATGTCAGAAACACTAATGTATTCTAAACAAGATGCGGTTTCATTTCCTGAACCTATACGTGATGTTTTTAACTGTTCTCCAGTTAATATGTCTCCATTTCCAGAAATCTAACAGGAGAATCTCTGACTGCTTAACAGATCATCTAGGTTTGCGATTTGTGCAATCCATTCTAGAGTAAGGGCTCCCCGGCTGCTCCCCGGCCACTATGTACCCCAAAGCAGCGGCTGAAATAGCTCAGAGTCCGACAGCTCAGCGTCAAGCAGCCTGTGGTTTGTACTTACATCATTTTTTTTTTTTTTTATAGCAGGAGTAAAAGTTTATTAAAAAGCGTTAGAACAGTAAGGAAAGGAGAGAAAATAAGGAAAGTACAACTTGGAAGAGGGCCAAGCGGGCGACTTGAGAAACCAAGTGCCTGTACTTACATCATTCTTAACCCTTCCGCTCCTGGAGGGGGCTCAGCGGGATCAGGGGGCCCCCGAACTTCGGAACACGCAGGACCTGAGCGTGAGAGAAGAGTCCCAGAGCTTGGTGTGAGCAATGCACTCCCGGAGGGAGACAGCCCGGGGCTTGCGAAGGGCTCATCACCCGCTCGTAGACAACGGGCCCCCGCAATCCCTGCGGGCTCCGCCGCTGCTCTCACCGCTCAAAACGGCAGGTGCAAAAAGCATTTGGGAGCCGCTTGCCAGCGCGCGGAGGTAATGTGCTTCCTGTCCATTTATCTCAGGAAACCAGTGCAGCCTTCCCTTCGAAACAAAATTAACCTCTCATTAGCCAGCCACTCGTTCCCAAGAAGGCCTTAAAAGCTTTACCGGCTCGCTAATGTATTTAGGCTTTTCTTCCAGGCAAACGCAGCCGCCGGTCTTGACTGCCATCAGCTCAAGGGGTTCCTCTGGGCTCTCCCGCGAGCCAACAGCCGACCTCTCTCCAGCCTAGTCTGGGAGACTCCAGCCAACCCAAGATCCCATTTTGTAGTCCCGGGCAGACCCGACACCCCTGAAAGAACTCCACTCCAGAAGACGCCAGAACAAGTTCCCACGAATTTCCTGGGCGCCCTTCACATCAAAACCTCAGCTCCCCTGTCCTCAAGGAACGGGGAAGAGAGCCGGGGAGGGATTTCGGTGGCCAGCTGTCCCTGGGTCGTGGGCGCTGTTTGCTCTGCGGAGCGCCAGCCCTGCACACAGCGGGTGCGGGAAGCGTTGATGGGAGGCTGGAGGGCGGGGTGAGCGTAAATTAGGATCTAGCCGGTTCCAGGCGTGGAGAATCAAATGTGGTCCTATATCTGTAAGTGGCGAAAAGGGGCTTTTGGGAGCGCTTTCTCACTCAGGTCCCCCGCCGCCTTGAGGCTGGCAGATTTATACCACACAGGTGGATGGAGACCTAAACAAAACAGTCCCGGCCGCTGCCTGCCGCTCGCCCCCCACGTCCCCTGGGCCCACCGCAAACTTCAACAAAATAAACAACTCACCACAGGCATTCCCTTGTCTGCAGCGCGACGCTTGCCAGCTGGGAAAATAAGCCGCAAGCCACGCGGCCGAGGCGCGGAGGGAAGGCAGCGCGGCGCCCGCCCCTCTCCCCCAGGTTGGGGGCAGCGGGACTCCGGGCGGGAGGGAGGCTCCGCCTCGGGGGCCGCTCTCCCAGCTCTCCGATTCCGGAATGAGCTCTCGGAGAGGAGCTGCGCCCTTCCAGCTAGCCCGATTTCTCCGCCACCTAGGGGAGAGGGCGGGGAGCCAAATCGCTCAGTCCCCCGCACCCCAGCAGCTTCCTCCAGGCAGCTTTTCCCCCAGTCCAGCCTCAAATAGAGGTGAACAGAGAACCCCCTCCTCCCGGCAACTCCTCTGTCGCCACACTGCCCCCTGCCGGCGCTACCCGGCTCATTCCGGCACAGCGGACGGCTAGGGGCATAGGGGCGCGCTAGACCCCCGCGTCCAGGTCCGGGCTCAGTTCTCTCTTCGCCTTCCCCCCACCACACTCAGTCTTGCACAAAGACGCCTTTCACGCCGCCAGCGCCACCCTCCGCGCTGCCCTCCGGGCCGGCGGCCGTGCCTTCGCCCACCCGCGGCACCAGCCGATTCCTGGTGGGCGATTTTGCCACTCGTCGCCAGGCAGGGCGGCAGCAGACGCGTGCGGGCTGTTCCCACTCTGCGCCTCGGCCAAGGCGCCAGATGCGCTGCCCCCCGCCACGTTCTCTAGCTGCCCGCCGGCAGCAGCAGAATGCTCCCCTTTCTCTCCGTAAATGATCCTTAAGGGTCTTCCAAGTGTTTCTAAAATGGGAACAGTGGCGGGAATGGTCCTCTGGACTTTCGCCGAAATAAGGAATCCAGCGATCTTCCCTGACCACCTAAGGTGCCAGTGTGTCTTTACAGCTTAAGAAAGTCAAAGATAAAGACTTGGAAATAAAGAGAGGAGAGAGGGTTTAAAGAGACACCTAAGGCCCAGAGCAAGTGTTACAAAGAATGAGCCCACGAAACGTTCGAGGCAGGACGGTCGCTTCGGTCAGCGTGGAAGGCGTGGAGGGCGAGAAGAAAGCGATTAACTTTCTACCTTACATTGATCTTCCAAAGTAGAAAAACAAACAAGCAAACAAAAAAATTATAGATACTCAGCGGCAGCTAATCGGCGCGTTCAACTCCTGGAACTAGCGAGCTGCTTCTCTTAGTCAAGTCAAATGCTCAAGTATCTTGACTCAGGGAGGTCACTTCTTGCCTCCTTAGGCAAGAATCTACGACCCTCTCCAGCTTTTCTTTGCCTTCTCCTCCCCCAACCCCTCCTTATAGTTTCTCCGGCTAACGCTAGAGGCAGCATAGGGCAGTGTAAAGAGGGCGAGTGGGAATCCACAGAGGAAGGTCTAGTTCTGACTTTCTGGGTCTGAGTCTTAGGCAACAGATTTAACGTCTTTGGACCTTGGGGTCACTATCAAGAAAGGATGTGTAAGAGGCAATAATTAGTAAAATTTACATATTTTTCTCTTTCTTAAATGCGATGACAATGAACGCCCTTCCTCCAAACCTCTGCAGGTTCCTTCTTAGTATTTTTTCACCTTGCTTTATCTTTTCTAAGTGACAGTCAAATTGAAAAAAAAAATACTAAGATCGTTTAAAGGTAAATGTAAGACACATTGAAACATACTCTTTTGCATCTGAGAATTTAAAAAGAAGAAGGAAAAACACCCAACTCAGCTCCTGGTTCACAAAAGCAAGGAATTTTAATGTCCCCACTTGTTTTGCTTTTGAAAAGCCACTCCAGCAGTCAGCAAAGCACAGCTTTGATTTAGAAACTAAAGGCTAGTCTCTTGTGTTTTTCTTTTCCCTTCCACCAACACAAAGACAAGCTGCAGCATAAAATAATGATGAACAAGAGTTCAAAGCAAGCCCAGTGAGCCAGCCCAGAGGATGTTTTTTAATGCAGCCCCAGTCCTTCCTCCCTCTCCTGCTAAGCTGGACGGTACATAAATAGCAGGCAAAAGCTGCCAGAATTCCCTGTCTCCTCCAGTCTTTTCCCATAAATATTGGTCAGTAGAACCTGGATGCTAACTTGTCAATCATCACATAAATACATTCATCAAATCATACAATTAATTTTTCTTTAGTTTCATAACATTTTTCATGATTTTCAATTCACTACCCACTTTGGAAGCTTGAACATTAGTTCTCCCTCTGGGCAAGCTTGTCTGATTTCTGGGAACTTTCTATGCAACCAAGGCAAAAAAGGGTAAAATCTCATAAAGAAGCATTAACTTTTAAATTACAAATATCATGCTTCAATTTCAACAACAGAATTTTAGAATGGCTTAGCTTTCATACAATGCACACTTTTAAAAGTTATTAAAGAGGATTCTTAAGTATCTTTTTGGGATACTTTTTTTTTGGGAAAAAAGTTTCCTTAAACAACATTGGTAGGAAAATATTGTGAGCTTGTCTAATTCTGTTGCTTTCATTTCTTTAAAAACATTATATTTTAGGCTCATCTGTAATCCCAGTGCTTTGGGAGGCCAAGGCTAGAGGATCACTTGAGTCCAGGAGTTAGAGATGAACCTGGGGAACATAGCAAGATCTCATTACTACAAAATTTTAAAAACTTAGGAGACATGGTGGCACATGCCTGTAGTCCTAGCTACTTGGGAGGCTGAAGTAGGAGGATGACTTGGGCCCAGAAATTTCAGGTTACAGAGAGCTGTGGTCTGGCCACTGCACTCCAGCCTGGGCAACAAAGTGAGACCCTGTCTCTAAAAACAGAAGTTGTATTTTAATTGACAAATAAAACTATATATAGTTATGGTATACAACATAGTGTTTTGAAATATGTGTACATTGTAGAATGGCTGGATCAAGCTAATTAATATATGCATTACTTCACATATCTTTTTTTATGGTGAGTGCAATTAACATCTACTCTCAGTGAATTTCAAGAATAGAATACTTTGTTAGTAACTATAGTCAAAATGTTATACAGTAGTCTGTTGCTTTCAGTTGTATCAATCTCAACATTCCCACTGCCTCATTCAAATATGCTAAAACGTTTACATTTCTAAATAGATCTTGGATGTTTCATTGGTAAAAGGACATGACTTGTTTCTTCTCCCCATTTTTAAAAAATCTTGCTCAATCCTTCACAACATTCTCATCTGATTTCATTTTGATTTTTCTTTTCTTTTATCTTTTTGAGACAGAGTTTCTCTCTTGTTGCCTAGGCTAGAGTGCAATGGCGCAATCTCGGCTCACTCCAACCCCTGCCTCCCGGGTTCAAGCGCTTCTCCTGCCTTAGCCTCCCAAGTAGCTGGGACTACAGGCATGCACCACCACACCCGGCTAACTTTTTGTGTTTAGTAGAGACGGGGCTTCACCATGTTGGTCAGGCTGGTCTCGAACTCCTGACCTCAGGTGATCCACCGGCCTAGGTCTCCCAACGAGCTGGGATTCAGGCGTGAGCCACCACGCCTGGCCTTGGTCTTTCTTTTTTTGTCACATCAAGCAAAATAGAACTAAGATGGGAATAGAGAAGGGAAAAAAAGTCCCCTTTCAGTAAAGTTGACAACATTTTTCTACTGACCATAAAGAAACTTTTTGGTGATACAACGTGTATATGCACCATCTTCTGAATATTCACTAAAAGGTGATAGCACTTGAGCTTTTAGAACATTCAACTAATGTGTACATCTAACCCTTCTGTTGTCAAGATCATAGCTTGCTTACTCCTGATGTTCCTAAGTTTTTTTCATTTGCAATTGTGGAAGTCATCTTAATTATCAGGAAGCATATGAATCCATTTTCTTGTTTCTTGTTTTACTTTTCTTGCATGTTTTTAAAAAAATTATTCTCTAAATTAGTTTCAGATTGATGCTTAACTTAATAATTCCTTTGTTTACTCATAATGTTTGAGAATTATTATTGTTAATAAATTACACTATTTTAAATATTAGTAACACTAATAGTGTTATTGGCAAGGAACAGAATATCAAATAAGCTACATTTGACTACCTGAGCCTGCAGTTCCAGCTACTTGGGAGGCTGAGGCAGGAGGATCCCTTGAGGCCAGGAGTTTGAGGCCAGCCTGGTCAATACAGTGAGACTCTATCTCAAAAAACAAAAAAAGGATATTTATAAAATAATGTTAGGAGAAAATGTTGCTTTCTAGATGTGATTTAATAAATGTTTGTTTAATTAAACATTGAAGTTCATAAAATTCTGTTTTGTTTTATAGGATCAGTGTTTAAATAGAGTGAAACACAAGATCTAAGACCTACTTGTACTTTTAAAAGGGTGAGGATTTGCTTTGCTACCTCCCCACCCTCAAACAAAGATACAGGACAGTTGTCTTGAACCATCAGCTCATGTGATAGTTAAAGAAAGGAATTCTGGTAAATCGCAAATTTGAAAAATAAAACCTCTAACCACATGCCCAATGAACAAAGAAAAGTAAAAGAAAAGAAGGGATATCCTGTAGAAGATGAACACTATTATATTCTATCAATAATTCAAGCCTGATTTTCAAGAGAAATCCTGCAGTTCTGAAGTATTCCTACATATGTGTACAAGAAAAAGGCACATGAATACACATTAAATTAGTAAAGTCGATATTTATAAAGAAGTACTAGAAAAAAAGCTTTTTTTTTTTTTGTCTGCTTAGTATTAGAAAAGCTCTTCTCATGAAGAACTTTCTCTCTTCATCCTTCCATCATTGGGTGGCATATAGAAGCTCTCCCTCCCTCTTCTCCTCTCCCTGTCTTCATTCCTTCATTCTTCAACAAATGTTTCCCGGCTGTTAATCACCATAATTAGGTACTGATTATACAACAGTGAATAAAACAGACCTGAACCCTATCCTCAATGTACCTTCAGTTTAGTGGTTCCTTTTCTGCCAGGCTGGCCAGGAAGAAATGACTTCAGCATCTTTCCTTCTTTGTATTCATGGAATAAGGGCTGGAAGGGGCTCCTTCACCATGCTTTCCTTTTATACACACACACACACCCGTCTTTCCCTGGCCTTTCTCCCTTTCCAGTGCTTATTTTTTTTTTTCTAATAAGTCTCATTTTTTTAGGGGAAAAAAAACCCAAAGTGAAAACATTTTAGCCATTCAGCACAGTTTAAAATAGTAGAACATAAAACAGCAAGGACTGGACTTTGTTTCATTGTATCTGCCAATTATTCCAGTTGCAATCATGATAGACACACCCAGATATACGAACACACACATATACAGTCTTTTCTAACTCTCAAGTCTAAGTAGGCAATTTATACATCCCAAAGATATCCATACTTCTCCATTACATTTGCTTTATAAAAATGAACTCCATGAAGTTGGAAAAGAACCATTTCAGTGAAGCAAATAACTGAAGGTGCCCATATGAGAACCAATTTGGACCTATTGCTATAATTCAAAGTTTCTTCCATAGGCAAAATCTCTATACCCACATTCACCTGTATATACGATGGCAAGAATATTATAAAAACATGACAGAATGGAATATGCAGCAATCCTTAAAGTACCATGAAATCTAAGACATATGGGAAATTGAATACTCTTGATTCTTACAGCCAATACTCCTAATTAAGAGTTTACTTTAAAAACACCCCTGCATATTTTAATA